TGTTGCATCAGGGGGTCCCAGGGAGGAGGAGAGGTGCCACCAGCAGCGACCCACACAGGCGCACACCACCCCAGCGAGCCCTGTGCCATGCAGCTCTCCCTGCAAGGCCAGCTGCACCAGGGCAACCTGCACGACAGGTACAGCAGTGATGCCAAAAAGCCTTTCCCAGGAATCCTTTTTTCAGGAACCACTCCACAGTAAGGGAAGAGGGATCTCCAGTGGTCTCCTGTGTCCCCAGTCCAGGCAGGGCTGAGGGGTCAGGAGTATGGCAGAGCGACGTGACGCCCCTGTGCTCCTGGAGGAAGCAAAAACAAACCAAACCCTGCTTCCAGGCCACCGCAATCTGCTCCATCCATGATGCTGTGCAAACAGCTGGGACATCTGAACAGAAGTGCTGGTGCTTGTGTCAGCCCACAGCAATACCCATCGCATCCCAGACTGTGCAGAATACAACTGAATAACCACTGTCGCAGGGGTCTGTCCTGCCATCTCTGCTCAGACAAAAAAAAAAAAAAAAAGGCACAAAGGCCAAGCTTGTGACTCATGGGATTAATGTCCTGTGTTAGGAATTTGGTTTGAATTCCTCCTAACCCCCCCTGCATGGGCTCCCCCTCACCCCGTCTGCTCTCGCCAATCTCCACAAGCTGGCTCACCCACCATCAGGGCCCAGCCCCAGCGTCCTGGAGTGCCTGGGCTGTGTAACGCAGCACACCTAGGACAGTCATCTACAACTGCTGTGATTTGGGTCGGATTTCAAATGGTTTGTTTTCCTGGCTGCGTGTGGTTCTTGTGAAATGAGCTGGACACTCGGTAGCCTTCGCTGTGCCACCATCTCTCAGGGGCTGGCCAGTTGCCACCCCTCCAGCAGAGGAAAAGCAAACCCACTCGTGCCACCCAGCTGTGGGGGGGAAGGAAAACCCCGCGTCCCCCGCCGCGTGGGGCATTGTGCCCGGCTGTGATGAGGTGCAGGAGCCCAGGAAGGTCTGACCACATTCCGCAGCTGAGACACAGGTTAGTTTCCAACTCCAAGAGTTCTCATTTCCAGATGTTTGGGGAAAGCTCGCAGCAGTGAAGGAGAACCTGGGCAGGACGTGCCTCCTGGTTTCAACAGGAGTTTTGCCACTGACTTCGAAACCAAAATGATTTCAGCTTCTAGCAGGTAGTCAGAAGCCGGCATCGTCCAATACTGCCCACAATACAACATCAGCATTTACTATACCACTAGGAGAGGAGAATAAATTACCCATGGAACATGATGAAAGAGAAAACAGGCTCATATAAAGGCTTAGTTTCTGAGCAAAACCAACATTTGTTAGAAGTTCAAACAGCATCTTCAGCATCTCTGTGGCTTCTCCCATGAGAAAGAAAATGAGCAATAACTGACGGTATGCAGCCTGGCAAGTTACTGTGCTCCTTGGTGGGCACTCCCATACCCAGGTGATGAAGACAGAAGAAGACACTAAACAAAATAAGGCAGTTTTCTGAGCTTTGCCTGCTACCTGTAATGCACCTCCTCATCACTTAAGAGGCAGGAGTATGTTCTAACTTGTAAAAAGTTTTCGTGCAACCTCTTTGTTTTTATTTCAAGTGTTGGAATTGCCATGCCAACACACAACATTATACCTGCCAAAACAGTCACAGCATTTAATACTTCCAACTTTACGGCCCATACATCAAACCCTTTCTTGGTTTGCACAGTTGCTTTCTTCAGCAAACATATGGTAAGTTGAAAAATATTTTTCCCATTCCTAAAGCACTAAAATGTATTTATTCCTTTATAATGTGAGATTTTCCCTTCTATTTCTATCGATTAAAAATATGGCTTCAAGCAGTAAAGTTCATTATTTGACTTTCACCCAACAAAAAAAGCAGCAAAAACCCCAACAACAATAAACTAGTTTCCACAGGAGTGCTGGAGAAAAAAAGTGCAAATATTCATAGAAAAGTAGCTCTGAAGCTACTTTTTAAATCAAGAAAGATTCACATGGAACCTACGTACAACACCCCAGCCCAGCAGGGCTGGAGAGGACAGGCTTGGAGGCAGCCTGTCTGGGGCACCTGGGATTTTGCAGGCCAGCAATGAAGAGACAGCAACGTGTTGATGAAAACAGCTTATCCAGATTCAGTTCAGAGTAACCATGTGTCTCGCTCTAATTTCCAGAGCCACTGACAGCTGTCATAACCTCTCAGCTCCCAGAGGCTCCTGGGGCAATAGCGCTGCTCCCTTGCCGGACGGTGCTTGGAGGAGAGCTGCCCTGATGGAAGTCATCGCAAGCTCCGCTGTCAGCTTGTATGGGGCTGGGACTGCACCCAACATGTTTGCAATGTGTAAATTGGGAGATATGGGCCAAGAAGTCGCACAGGGACTGCCTGTATGTGGCTAACCTCAGTGAGAAGTTTTTGACACAGACCAGGATTGGTTTCCCTCCATAGGTTACATACCTCGAGTACTAACACATCTTGCCCAACACCAATACTTTGCAGGCTACACTTTAATTTCATGTTTTTCTTTCACTCTGGACTTGGCCTCGTTTATCTCAAAAATGCAGCAAATGCCTTACATAGGGCAGCAGGGGAAATAAATTAACATGTAAAGAATCCTGTGAAGGACCCAAAGCCAGTCACCCTGGGTATATAGTTTGCCACCCAACATGCAGCTCCTGGGGGCTGCCTGTAGCACCGCACGTGCGTCTCCATGATGTTTTCCATCAGGAGATCAGGCATGGAGGGTCCTCAGACCCAGCCACAGCACGCTGTCTGCCTGCTGGGGACACGAGATGGCCGCTGCAGCCCATGTATACAACCCACACCTGACGCAAGGGCAGAGTCAGCGACACTGGCTTTGACAGCACCCAAGCTGAGACCATGTGAGTGTTAGGAGACACATACAGGTGACTTGAAGCAGATGGCACATGGGTTTGCAGCAGGTCCTGAGGGCCTGCTGCAGCAGCTCAAGACCATCTACACATAGCCATGAAGAGCCTCTGATCCACCACCACCTCCACACAGCCAAAGCTTCTTTCCTACCGGAACAGTTGCCGCTCACCCACCACCTCCACCTTGGCATCCGTGCTTGGGAATGCAGCCTCCCTGCTCACACACACCGCCCCAACATACGTAGCTGAGCTCAGCTTGCTCCACACCCTTTGGTGGGGGTCTCCCTGCAGGAAGAGGCTTCACTCAAACACTGCCTATGTTTTTCGGTTGCTCTGTACAAAATTAATATTCAATAAACCTGTTCTAAAATGTTTTCTTTTGCAGGAGGGCATTGCACTGCTTTAACAGTCTCTATGAACAACAGTCTGTAATGAAGGCTCAGCCGGAAAGCTGGTGATGCCCACGCTGCTGCTGCCCATATGTTTCTTCCTAAAGCTGTCTCTGCTTGTCCACTGGTACGTCTAAAACACAATAAACTTGCAACAGCTTTCAATCAGCCTAGCCTGCATGGATAGGCAAATAGCAACCTTTTAAAAAATAAAACGCTTCTAACAGAATTTTATAAGCAGACAAGCAAGAGGGTTTTTTAGAGCATTCTGGAGATGAAGTAATGCATTCAGAGTAAGAGAGTACATGTGACGGTGGGACTGCCACTTGTGTAGCTGTCACTTGAGTTCCCATCACGGCTTTATAATTTCTAACAGGTCTCTCTCCCTGTGTAGTCCTGGGTAGGCTTGTATTGGTTTTGGGAGCCGGAAATTTATGATAATGTAAGGGAAGACCATGAAAAGTGTGGCAAAATTTGTAAATGCATGGCAAGGTTTTCAAAAGCTCTCTGGGATGCCTTATCTCCGTTTCTATCAAATTATGAGTACAAAATTGTGAGTAAAAATTATTTCAGCATCCATGTGAGCAGAGTTGAGTGAATTCTGAACACTTCTGAAAATCTTCCTTTGATCTTTTTCTAAATCATAAAATCTTAATGCTGGTGGTCAGCAGTAGAGGTGGTCAGGTTATTACATTCTCTTGCTATTGAGTTTCTGTTAGTGTTTTCCACATATTATCTCTCTCCCAGAAGCAATTACTCCTTTTTTTTTCCTTCTAGGAAAAAAAATAATAATAACAACATATTTTTCACTTTGAAAGGCGTATTCATGTAGGTACGTCCAGCTGCCTCCCTGAGACTGCTAGACCCAGTGGGGTGTATTCAGTCCCAGCACCCTCCAGTAGCTGCCTGCCACCAAAGAGCCACCACTAAAAGCCCTAACAGCAAAAGACAAGGCTGGAGATGCCACTGATGATACAACTGCTGAGCACCTTTAACTTACTGGTTCATACATGTTAGCACACCCAAGCCACTGAGGACACTGTCTTGGTCATTTTACAGTTCGTGAAGCTGTCTCCTGGTCAAGCTGTGACACTTCATAGGGCTTGCTCTAAGAATCCTTCACTCAGTCCCAATACTAACCAATCTCCAGATACACTTTTTTTTTTTTTCCCCTGAAGCACTAAATTACTTGACTTCCCCAGAGAATGAAAGGCAGAACTGTATTCAAGGACATACTAAAGGACTGTGGTTATTACATTTAGCTGACGCTGAGATGCTCCCCTCTTCTTTCCAAACTCAGACTTCCATAATCTCATTTCATGTCCAGTCATTTAACAGGGCTGACACTCTGGAGTCCTCAACAGGGCAAACCAAAGGTAATCAAGAAAAAATCCTGCTCAGCTGCCGAAATTACTTCTCTCAAAGACAGACCAGTTTTTGTCTGGTTCTTTCTTTGCTCCACGTGAGCAGCAGGACATCCTGCATCCCTTTAAAGGTTTACTGCATCTTGCCAAGAACATGCTCTTTCAAACATCCACATTCTCTGAATTCTGAGCAGCAGAGAAATGCCATCTCATCTGCAGCCTTATCTTGAGCTGATCCAAAGCACATGTCAGACTCTGCCATCTCTGGGTAGGCTTGAAAAGCATCAGGCAAGTGCACGTAATATACTGTGGTGAAAAATGCCCGCTCTCTTCCATGATAACAAGACTGACAGATGAGATTAGGTTTAGTACAAAGAGATTATCAAATGGCTTTTTGATACAGAAGTGGGTTGTGTATGGGCTCTTCTTTTTTGGGAGAAAGAAATCATGGGCTTTACAATGAACGAGGCAATCTTGAGAAATTAAGTTTTGAACAAATCCTAGTCTGCAAAGTCAATCTCTGCACAATGCCACAATACGCCCATTTATTCACTTGGATTAAAGTATTAGACCTTTGCAATTCAAGGAACAATATGTGCTTGTGCAGGTAATAAGCATCACCTGCAAAAGCCATAAATAACATTTAAAATTACCTTGACTACTCAACTAAGCAGAAACACTATACAATGTAAGTGTACTGGAAGAAATTCTGGGTTCACTGAAGTCAATAGCGCATGACCAGGATTTCACATATTGTTCTTGTTTAAATACAGTTGTTTTTGCAGTGCTTATTCCAAGTAAACTTGGATTGTAAATATGCAGCAATGCCAAAAAGAATTGAGCTGCATTGCTATCCAGATACTCATAGATATATCACACCAAGTGCAATCTGATATGTTATACAACCTACTAATTAGTTCCACAACATCTTTCATACATTACTCAGTCTGGCTCTCTTCTTCAAAATACTAGTTTTCTAGTTGCTAGTTCTTAGTTGCCACATCAGGAAATACTATACATGGGTCAAGAACTCTTAGCAGGATTCCTGTTGCTTGGCAATGCCTTGAATGCTGTAACACTGTTAAGTGTGCCTCTATGGAAATCTCTGAAAGCAGAAAATGTCAGTGTTAATAGCAGCCCTGAAACTTTACTTCTTCCCGTGGGAGCTGGCAAGGACTCTTCAGAAAAAGTGATGGTTATCACAGACAGAGCCAACACTGTCTTTTAAAGAGGAATAAACAGCTGTGTCACTTGATGCAGTGTGCTGTGCCCCACTGACCTCTATTCTTGCATCCACCTGCATGTCCTCCAGCTGCCTTGGACCATGTTAAGACAGCTGCATTGACTGGTGTGAGCATGGTTTGCACCAAGCTGCCGTACCTCCTACATTACCGATGGGGAGAGGTGTGTCTACAACTAGGAGGTCCATGGTCCACAGGGAGCTGTGAGGAAAGTGCAGTTAAAGGAGGACACTGGTCTCTTGGGAGTTTGCAGCAGTAGCATAACAATATGGAAGAGAAGCAATGAGACAGGAGATGGTTATCACAGGGACATCACAGGACTTGGGGCTGCTGTAAATACATCTGGTAGCTCTGGAGTGAGCTGTGCAATACAAGTGTGTATGTGGCTGTGCGCGGTATGGACCTGCCTCAAGAGCACAACTCAAACTTGTCCTAAAACAGCTTTTGCCTTGCAGAGTCTCCAGGGCTCCATAGCAACTGGAAGAAACTGCTGAATTATGTTAGAACAACTCACTGTTGTACACCTAGCGACATCAAGGAGCTCTTGTTATTACACAGAGCAGTCCTTCCAAAAGGTCTTCCTGCCTGTCTCCTGCTGGTTACATGCATGGATTTATATATTTATAGTTATAGCTATACACACTCAGTAATAATGATAATTTTTGACCTTCAAAGTACAAATGTCTGAAACAAAACCACTACAATAAAGGCTTACCTACATCCCTGTCCCTGATACAGTAGTCTGGAGAGCTTTCAAAGTATACCAGGTCATTCTTAGTTGGCTTCTTAAATCTCTTATTAGCCACAGTGAAACCTGTGCCATCTTGATTCATGACCACCTGAATCGCTCCATTGTATTTCTTCCACAAATAATCTCCTGTTTTCCTGAAGTCTGCCATGGCCAGCCAGCAGGTCCTTAGAGTGCACGATCCACTCACACCATGACACTTGCACTCCTGTTTCAAAAACCGCTTCACGGCCTGTTTAGAAATGCAGCAAAATACACACAGGTGAAAAAAACTGGAACTGATGCTTCTCAGCCCTCTCCTGTTTTCCAACCCGCACCACCCGCCCGCCGCGGGGCTGCATCCTGCGGTCTGCAGTGACACCCGCTGGTAGCACCGAGTTATCCCCGCACGGTTGGGCTGCTCTGGTCGCCTGACTCAACCGTAGACAAAATCCTCCGGCTGCTGGGTTTACCCTCTCCGCTCCTGCCAGTCATCCCGAGGATGGAGATGGTCCATAGCGCTGGGACACGGGCTGGACAGGACAGGGGGAAACGATCCGGGAAACGGACAGAATGGCTCAGCCCCTCGGTAGGTGAAGGCACCCGTTTCCCCATTGTTCCAGCTGAAGCATTGCCATGCTGACCCCTCTCTAGCTTGCCTTCATGAAGTTGCCCTTTGCCCTGAATAGTGTGTCAAATATTGCCTAAAAATTCACAGGCAGTTCATATTTAAATGCTTTTTTCAGGAACTGTGCAAAGCATTGTACCCAGGCTAGGTGTCTGGTCTATGCAAAATTTTAAAACATGGTATAAGCCTTTTAACAAATATTTTAGAAGAAGACCTTCATTAGCTTGCACTGGAGAGGTCACCTTCATAATTAATTTAATGGCTGGATAACTTTAATGTCATTTTGGATTAATCTTGGACATTTAAGCTATCTGTATGATGTTGGAGAACAACAGATGGGTTCATATACATTAATTAACTCATTCCTAACTCTGATGATATGGATATCTGATCTATATATATTATGCCTTAAAGGTTCATGAAATATGAACATTTTAGAGTTTGTACAAGAGGAACAGCATCATGGGAGGAAGGTAAGAGAGAGGAAAGCTCCATGACTGAAGTCAGACTGATGCACAGCTGGGCAGCATTCTTCAGTCAAGCACTTAGAAATAAAGTGAGAATGTGTTATAAAACCAAAGTACTTTTAATTCTCTTTCCAACTTGTAAATGATATGACTACTTCAAAGAAGTCACTGACATTCCCACAGCCCCACTTTGTTGCCAATGGTCTTATCACAAATCTGGGATTTAAGCAGATGCTTGGTTTTAATTATCTGAATAGAAATCAGTTTAACTACTTGTATGTTTAAAACAACTTGCTGGCATAGTGGAAGAAGCACATAAGAATGCAGGACTTTTTTTTTGTCAGTGATGTTCCTCTACTGATACGCAGCATATTGTTTTGTATGATTCACATCGGAATATTATAAACATTTATTCTATGTATTTTTTAATTACTAAAATCTGAACAGTCTAGATTTAAAAGAAGCCTACCAACACCCTTTTTGGGGGTGAGCAAAAGCCAAGGACACAGCTGGCCTTACCCAGACCCGAATGCCAGGCTTGGGGGTGGGCTGAGGTAGAGAAATCCCTACAGAGCTAGACCTGTGCTATAGCACTGTGGGTACAAAACAGCATCCTTTTCTATAAAGCAGATCCTAGAGCATATGAGGATGTGTTGTATTGTAATGTATTTTTAATTGAATACATTTATTAAAGTCTCTTGATCTTTTTCTAAAAAACCTACCTGCTTACCAATACTGTCTTATTATTTGGCATACGTATTTTTATACTTACTAAAATACAGCTATTACAGAAAGTACTTCCCATCATGGAGCCAATTCACCCCTATAAAGTATTTTCTTGTGTTGCAGACTGCAGTCTCTTTCGGACAGTAACAGAAATACAGCCATAGTAATGCATATGCATATCACTGATCTGAATAGCCTCATCTGTCTGCATTACACATTAATTACACCTGCTGGTAATAAATAGGTGGAGGAAAGGAGAAATATTTATCAGGAAAATAATCTACTTGCAGTGCAATTCATTAACATTGGATCTTTTCTTCTAATAAGGGCTAGTTAATATAGAACACTGTTATAGTTTATAAAGGGAACTTTTTAATATAAAAAGATCAGAATATGAACAATTTAATTCCTACTGAATATATATTAAGGAAAACCAAAGCCAAGAAACAATAAGTCTCTAAGATTCATTTTAGAAGTGCTTGTTCTAGCAGTATAAAATATTTTTCCTTATTATTTCAGATGTTTTGGATGCAGCGAATCTTGAATACATTTTGAATAATGAAACAACATATTCCAGTTTCATGTACCATTCCTCATATTTATAGCTACTGCCACAAAATGGTAGCACGTGTATTCCTCGGCCCTTGCAACTGCAGTGTGCAACATGCCTGGGAACTACTCCTTCTACTCACCTACAAAAAAAAATAAAGACTCTTTTTGGTGAAATTCAGGAATGACATTTTCATACAACATTTAGAGAAGGTGTTTGGTCTAGAGCAGGTCATGCCCCAAGGCCAACACCTTTTGGAGGAACATAGGTTTTGGATTTATTTTCTTAAAAAGTAAAGTAATTGCTCAATTTGTGGCTATATTTACGGTATACATACTGGAATGGACAGTATGGTGGTTTTTTTTTCCTCCAATGCTGTTTTGAATTTGCTTTTTAACAGCCAAGACTGTTCTTCAGTGTGTTCTTCAGCCTCCCTTAGGAATTGCTATTCTTGATTAACTGAAAGTAAAAGTCCTCCATATATACGGATTAGGCTCAAAACAAAGCCTCCATCCAAACTGATCCTGCAATGACTTGGACTCATGCTTGTCTTCTCACACAAGGAGCCACTGAACTGACTCCGATCGGAGCACCGTGAAGCAGTTGAACTCAGTCCGTTTGGAGACGTCTGCCACACCGAACCTCCAAGTGAGACAGAAATAGCATCTCAGGCTCCAACTCAGCCCATGGTTTTTCCTAACTGCTGAAATGAGTCAGTGAGAGCCAACTGATACCTGCCCCAGGCCCCTGAGAGCTCACTGAGAGCAACTCTGGGCATCTGTTGGATGGACACCCACCTTCCTTCCAGCTCTGTTGTTGTGAAGGTTCATCAGCGCCCTTGCATCTTTTCCTTTCCGTTCCTTGGCATCCACAAAAGCTCTGGCAAATTTAATGCCGTAGTCGATGTTATCGCTGCAGCCGCCCCAGTCAAAATGGCCCTTGCTGTCCTTGGCAGAGCCTTTCTTCTTGGGATCACAGGAGCAGGACTTCAGCTCCCCTTGGCTACATGCCCTGGTGATGGCAAAAACAACTCCAGCGGAGGAGATGGCATGTACAAAGGCAGATTCCCGACTACCTGAAACAAAAAAAAGTCATTTTAAAAATCATTGGGGTAGTTAGTTGGAGTGGCTATCTTAACTACAGCCAGTTAGCCTGGAATGTTTTTGCTGAGTAGAAGATAAAACTGGGCTGAAATCACACAAATACACGTTCCCTGGAGCCAGAATTAGTCATGGCTTAAACTTGGACCCCTCCCTGGTAAAAGCTCATCAATATAGTGTTAGAGTTGGAAAATATTAAACATTTGCTTCTGATATTGATTAATATACTTTCACAGATCAGTTGTTTCGTACAGATACGTGAATAGGACAGCTGGTATTTCTAACATGTTTCATCAATTCATAAAAATATATGAAGTGCTATTTCAGAGATAGGTTTAAGGAAATATTAAATAGGGACACTGGAACAACATGTACATTGCAAAATACTGCAGATGACTCTTGAAACTAGTTTTTCCTCTTCCAAAGCACTGGGAATAAACTTTCCTGCTTAAAAGGCAGTAGGGAGAAATCTTGGGTGTTATTTTCTGAAAATAAATTAAACTCAGGTTTTCTGCCTAGTACCAAGCCCAGGAACTGTAATTCACACAAACAAGTTCCATTAAATCAATGGCACTGCTTGTGTCATGCTTGAGGCAGGACTGGGCCTGGCAGCTGTGACATCCACACGCCAGCTGCTTGGGCAGTTTTCCCTACTCTTACCAAAGATACTTTATTATATCAGAGATTTTTTGTATTTCTAGACTATGCCTACTCTTAAGCTATCAGGTATGCATTTCAATCAGCAATTACTTAAGTCTATTTTAAGAGGTAGTAATTTACAGTACAGAGCTGTCATAGACAACTCTATTTATGAAAATTGGATATTTAAATATTTTAGAAGTTTTTAGCATGGGAGAAGCGAGAAGTAGATTTTTGTGCAGTATCTAAGGCCACTAGCAGTGAGAGACACCCATTTGTAGGACTGGCAAGCCTTAAGTAATGTTAGCATGATAAAGGAGGACCCTAAAGATAAGAGTGTTATCTGTGATTTTATTGTAGGGGCAGCATTACACCACACCACATAACTTCTTATTTAATATTTATATTCCAGTAGCATCTAGATGTTTCAAATAGGAATGGGCCTTACACTTGTGTGTGCTGTGCAAACCTTCAGCAAACAGCAACTAAAAGCTTGCAAAGGGACTGGGCAAACCCTTTTTTTTCTTCAAAATCAGGCAGGAGATACTGTGGCGTGTTACAAATCACGCGCTTTTGAAGATTTCGTTTCTGAGAAAACATATTCAGAAACATCAACATTTTTACAAATTAAATTTTACAAATTAAAAAGAAATACTTGATGCCGTTGGAAGAAAAAAGTTTCATTTGAGTTTATTAAACTAATCAAAAACATCTAATTTCAAATTAGAGCAATGTCAAGCTACGTTTCCCATTGCCATCACTGCCTGACCAGGCTCAGCAAAGAGCTCAGAAGCCTGACACCTTAATTCTCAGCCACAAGCCAACAGTGAAAACTTGACTTTCGGGAAAACTGCATTTTTACTTTTTTAATGAAATAGCCTCATCAGAATTAGGCCATGTTCTGCCAGAAGTGTTTTGCTGAATGTCAGACAAATCTCATCGAAAACTTCAGCTGATGGGTGGCGTTACCAGTTACTCACAAATAATTGTTGAGGGAACATGAGGCTGGTTACATGAACCAATTTCTTACCGGCAGTGAAGCCTGGCACCAAATGATCCTCTGTAGATGAAACCCACTGCTTGGGACAGCATACCCAGTGTCACCTGACCTCCTCCCCACCATCCCCACCGCTGTGGCAATGGCCCCACGGTATTTCCTCCTTTCCTTGCTGGTGCCATGCTGCTCACAGTGCAGAGAGGCTGACTCTGATGGTGCTGGGGACATCCCAGGGACACAAGTGCCAGGGCAGGACCAGCCTCACCAGCTCTGCACCACGGCTGTGTGCCCAGGTGTGGTGTTTGGTGAAGAGAGACACAGTTCAGAAGACTCTCAGCACGTTTATCACTTGGATAGGGACATCGCAGCACGGTAACAGATCTTTAGCCCTTTCTTTGAGTCAGAAGGACCACATGAGCTGTTTGAAGACTAACTAGCCTTAGTCCAACATTCAGGCAGCAACAACATCCTGTTTATCCATCCCTCCACTCAGGGTGGGAAGCACACTGCAGTCCTCAGCTGCTTGGCGTCTGCACAAGCCTGGTTCACCGCTATCAGATGTGTCCCCCCTTATCTCTGTCCTAGAGCCTGATCTGAGGGACCAGCTGTCGCACCCCCCACAGGGGGCTGAGAGCCTGGCGGGCAGGGCTGCCCCGGCACGGGCGCAGACCCCACAGCTCACCCCCCATCCACAGCAGCGCAGCCCCGCCGGGGACTGCACCCTGCAGCTGCGCTTCCCTGTGGGAAATGG